GGTACATAAAGAAGAAAGTTTATTTTCCTAGAGGTTAGCATAACATACCATTTAGAATAATTATGTTTTGAAAACAATATCTGGAAGATGGGGGCTGTTAGCTGCAACACACTGTTGGAGTCGTTCTCAGAGGAGAGAGTAACCATGACAGTGAATTTCGATTGCTATGCTGCAATGTTGCAAAATTTCTTGCAGCCCATGATGGAAAACATTGTTGAAAATGATCCATTGAGAGACATGTGGTTCCAGCAGGATGGGGCTACAGCCCACACAGCCCGAATGTCACTCAATATTTTGAAACTCATGTTTCCTGGACGTCAGGTGTCTCTGAGGGGTGATTTGCAGTGGCCTGCAAGGTCACCTGATTTGAGCATTTGCGATTTCTTTCTTTGGGGACATCTAAAAGAAAGGGTCTTCAGAAGTCACCCTCACACCCTACCACAGCTAAAGGGATGGATTTTTGCAGAGGTTATGGCCATGCCTCGCCATATGTGTGAACGTGCTGTAGGAAACTTCCGAGAACAACTCCAACAGTGTGTTGCAGCTAACAGACACCATCTTCCTGATATTGTTTTCAAAACATAAGTATTTTAAATGGTATGTTATGCTAATCTTAAGAAAAATAAACTTTCTTCTTTATGTACCTCCATTACTATTATTTTGCCTTAAAACTGTTCAATCAGTTCTGCTACACCCTGTATAAGCTAGCTAACACATTTAAATTGTATATTGTAATCAATATATAACAAATAGTCAAATAGTTAGACTACTTATAGCCTTATAAGAATTAGCTAAGCTGTTAGCTATGTACAATGTATTGCACACTTGATGCCTCTGTACCAAAAACATTCAATTTATTGGAACCTAATACACACTAAAGGCAACAAGTTTATATACCAATTTGTCATTCATAGTACATTTATACTAAACCATGAATAACAATGCCTCAATATAAATTAAAGACTGCCACTCAATATTTTTAAATATATGAAAAAAATAAAAAAAATCGAAAAAAATAAAAAAATTCATGATTTTTTTATAAAAAAATCAAGTGATTTAATCACATGATTCAATCATTTTGATTTAATCATTGCCAACCCTGCATATTTATGTGCCCAACCAGTAATTTTTGCCTATATTAAATGTGAAAGAACTCCCCCACCCCTAACACTTTCACGAACTGTCGTCAAGGCATAAATCAATGTACAGAGATGATTTTGGTACCATTGGATAGGTCAGAATGTCAGCTTCGAAGTGAGACTTAAAACCGAAAAAGTGAATTTTACAATTTTTGTCCCAGAAATTCAGGGCATAAAGGGTTAAATCTTGGGTAAATGAGGAAATTGAAAATGAACCAATTCTAAAAAATCTCTGGTTTGTCACTATGGGTGCACCGCAGGTTCTATGCAAGGCCGGAGGAAGACAAAGCCAAGTGGTTCACAGGCATCACGGCTGATTGGTGGATGTCCAGGGACCAGAGAGATCCAAGGCATTCAATTCAGGGCTTATTGGTGCACAAAAAAATTGGCGATGCATGGCTGTGCTTCCAGAGCTGGCAGGCATGAAATATATCTATATTTTGAACTGCAACTAGAGCTTTCTGCCTTTTCCAACACCACAATAAAATTTCCTGCTTGATGAATTACTATTACCTCTTATTCAATTGTTGGTTTAAGTGCTAAATTTGCAACAAATAATACAATATTCAAAGTTAATTGAAATTTTCCCATTTTGGGGCCACAAGATTTCCATAATAAGTAGGAAAATTCCTAAGATGGAAGTAGGATTACTGCATGGGAACTTGGATTACATGGGAACTTGGAAGTTGGAAAAACTCTACTCTAAAAAAAAACATTTTCCAGTTTTTCCCTATTTCTTTTGTAGAATTGCATAGTGAAATTTGTACCACCACCAAACCTCATGAGTATTGCTAGTGTATGTACTTGAAGATTAACAAGGCCCTGGCCAAGTTTGGAAAACATCTCCCTTTAGGGCCGCAACAAGAGCTTTCCCACCATTTCCGGAACTGCAAGATTCCCACCAGATGGATTACCTTCTATCTAATTGTTAACAAAACAACTATATGTGATCAGGCAGCAAGTTTCCAAATGTATTAAAAACTTGTTCTCGCTTGAGCCACGAGATTTCAGAAACAAGCAGGAAAATTCCAATCATGGCCCTGGCTACTGGCTAGTAATACTAATTATACTATTGCTACTAGTTTTCAGTTAGGAAGCTTAATTATTAGAAATTGAAAAAAGACACTTGTGCTTAAAAAAAAACTCAATGTGTTAGAAGAAACCTACTATCTAATGGGATAATAAGGGTTAATTTTGAGATTTTTTTCTTAATAATTTCTTACCATGAGACATTTCATCAACAAATTTGAGCTCATTTTAAAGGTTTTTGTGAGGGCTATTATATGGCATCTGAAAAAATTCCATATGCTTTTGGCATTTGTAGGGTGCCAGATGCAAAAGAAAAGTGCCCCGAATTACCCCTGGGAACAGGGTAATTTGGGATACCATAAAAGGGGGTAACTTAGACTACTTTTTTTAAACGATGCCATTTTTTTACTACTTAAATTCAACTTAAATTGAAACATGCAAAATATAGGTCTACATTCTAGGTTAACTCACCACAAATTGCTGGCTCCTGCCTCTCATAGTTTTGATGTAATTTCAAAAAAAATGATGGTCTTTGTTACCTCAGCTCTTGAGGTATCTTAGACTGGGTGGTAAAATCAATTATATTTTTTGGTAAAATAATTTCAGGTTTTGGTGCATTGTAGTAGAACTCTTCTAGTTACATATACAAATGAAAAATTTGAGGGAAGTGTTATAGTTTGCAAATGGGGGCACCATCCCCAAGTGGGGGAACTTAGACTACCTAATGTCAGCCCTGACGGGATAATATTGACCGGCTTGGAAATTAAGTTAAAATTACCATATGTAAGACTCTGTTGAGTTTGAAACATAAAGAAAAAACATTAATAGGTGTATGAAACATAAAATATGTTATATATGGTAATTTTCAATTAATTTCCAAGTTGGTCTATTACCCCATCAGGGCTGACATTAGGTGCCCCCATTTGCAAACTATGACACTTTCCTCAAATTTGTCGTTTGCATATAGAACTAGAAGAGTTCTACTACAATGCACCAAAACCTGGAGTTATTTTACCAAAAAAATAAAAAAAATTGAAGGGGGTTCTATGACAGGCTTTAAATAATAGTCAGGTCAGTGGGTCACATTTTTCATTTTAACCTATTAGATATGTATAATTTTTTATCTTTCTATTGTGTTATGTAGCCTCTGTATTAGGCCTTTAATGCCCATTGACAAAATTTTTCTATGTCAAATAGTTTTTGAGTTATGAGGTTTTTGTTAAAAAACTACAGTAAAAGTGGTCTAAGTTACCCTGGGAGTCTAAGTAACGCCTTTTACGGTACTTGAAATAATACTTAATTTTAAAATGTTTGAAGCATGCAGATTGCAGAGTGTACTCATCCATTACAAACAGTATTCCAAAGTCCTCTTCCTTTGTAGATGATGTAGATGTAGAATTAATAACATTTTCTGTGATTTGTACATGTTTCTCCTCTATTGATATGAACTACCATATCCATACCTTATTGATGTGATATTGATATTATTATAAAATTTGAGTCTATTTAAGGAATTGAATTATCAACTGGTAACATGACAAAACAGACAAAAGTCAGCAGACTTGGCTCCCCTCATTTCACACACTTGACTGTAGGCTTTTAGTAATGAATAATGTTCTTAAAACTGGTTTTATAGACTTTTAACTGATTTATGCCAAAAATAACATCAAACCTGAAGTCTCAAAATATATAGTCTCCAAAAACATAGTGTGTCTAAATATAATTACAATAAAATAGTTTTATATTTTTTTATACCAATGAGGGTTCTTTATACAACACATCTCTTTAACTTCACTTCTTGTTTGTTTGTTTGTCTGCTACAAATCCTATAATCAATATTTAACACACTTCTACCTGTCCAATTGATCTGAAATTTTGTACACTTGCATAAAGTTAGAAACAATGCTTGAATCAATTGATAGATTAAATAATTAGAAAAATAAAATTTTAGATGTTAGAAAATTGAAAAATATATATGGGTATATCTGAATATTTAAAAATAAAGTAAGAAATTTATAAAATAATTATTAAAAAATAATAAGAAATAATTCTTTTAAAAATAAAGAAGAAATGTTCATTATAAATGTGTAATATCAGAGACACTGGCCCCTTTAGAATTGTTGTCTTTAAAAGTAATTTTTAAACACAACTTATTATATTTTGCTTAAAACAAATATTTGCAGTATGCAAACTAAATTAACATCAAAGTTGAATTTAATGTTATAGTTACAATTTAGGTTGCGCTTACATAAATTTGTTACAAAAAATCTCTGTGAAGTATATTTCTCTAGCAATGATGTCACACAAATGTTCAGAAAAGCATCCAATAATTTATACAAACGTGAAAAAATACAAAATGTACTTTGATGTGAAACTTCAAAGGAACTAGGTCAGGTTGTCAGGAACTAGGTCCCTTCTTGTGGCCAAGAACTAGGGTTATGTTGTGCTCTCTTCTTGTGGTCAGGAAATAGGATTACATTCAATACATTGTGCTTTTTTTTGTGGTCAGGAACTAGGGTTATGTTGTGCTCTCTTCTTGTGGTCAGGAAATAGGATTACATTCAATACATTGTGCTTTTTTTTGTGGTCAGGAACTAGGGTTACATTGTGCTCTCTTCTTGTGGTCAGAAACCAGGGTTACATTGTGCTTTCTTTTTGTGGTCAGGAACTAGGGTTATGTTGTGCTTTCCTCTTGTGGTCAGGAACTAGGGTTACATTGTGCTTTCCTCTTGTGGGCAGGAACTAGGGTTACCCTGTGCTCTTGATGTAAAAACTGGTATATACTAATTGATGTGCACTTTCCATTAAAAAAACAATACAATGAATAATTTGACAGATTTATCTAATTTCAGTGGATTTTAATATCTTTTAATAATTGTGGTGGCATTTTGTTCCATCAGATTTTGCTCATTGAAAATAATGACAGTTGAGTATAATGAGCTTGATGGCCTATCAAGGCCAACATCTAGCCGGAAGCGCCACTCAGGCTGCGGCCTGGCAGTGGTGACACTCATATTGTTTGTGGTGACTGGAATTTCTGCTCTTGTTGTGTGGAAGGTGGGTTAATGAATGTTAGACATTGAACGAAGGTGCTTGCTATACTCCTTGATGTAAGTCTCCTAGTTGATAAGAGGATGCATGTCTTCTGAATATGCCTTATGAAATGTTTTTGTTGAGTATAAATATTTTTCTATTGAACTATCTATTGTTTTTCTGGCTATTTTATTTTTCTTTGATATCATTGCAGGTTTGCTTCCCATCAGGCGGATTTGGTGGAGTATTTGTTGATAATGGAGCCCTGGCTCACCATTATCCACCACCACCTCCCCATACAGAGGTGAACACAGTTTTTTTCTGTGTGCCTTCTTGCTTATATACTAGTTTTTTTAATTATAGAGCCTGTATTGTTCATTTGTCGGACATTTGTGTGCAAAATACTTCAATTCGTATGCCATATTTTTACAGAAGAATTGGTTTAATTTTTTAATTGCCAACTTTTGTTCTTTTCATTAATTTATTCTATATTTTTTACCAATTTTACTACAATTGCTCATTTGCCTAACTTCCCCAGCATACTGTGACAAAATTCAACTCTTTTGTGTTATTATAATTTGCAGAAATTTAAAATTTATTATGCATTTTCCTTGACCATATCCTTTCTACAGCCCAAAAAATATGTAGTGTGACACCTCATTCATAGCTGTGTGGTCAAATCTATTTGAAATAAAGTTTTTGAAAGAGTTAAAGTTTGACTTATATACCTCTTTGTAGTCAATGAGTTAAATGTAATATTTGATAGTTCACCACATAATATTAACCTCGTCCTGGATGAGCAGTACGCAGCTGTTGCAAGATACATCATCCACATCTCAGACTGGGCAACACTGGCCACCATATCAACACATGCCAATATTACTGGCTATCCATTTGCCAACGTCTTCAGCATCAGTGATGGCATCACCTCCAATTCAACAGGCAACCCTTACTTCTACCTAACTGACCTGGAGCTCAGCGTTCATGACCTCAAGGTGGGAAAGTTGTGATGATGTTTGGTTTGATTGGCTTTATTGCTCAAGTTTCGGAAAGAATTTGGCACTCCTTGTTTAATTGAATTAGGCATTCATCGTAATTTGGCTGTATTGAAGTTGAAAGATACATCACACTTGTGATAGTTACTAGTATAACTTCTTGAAAGAGTATGTTGAATTTTTTTATGTTGTACGAGACATCCAATGTAATTTATGTACCTATATAAAATGGAACTTGTATCACACTCATAGTTGATAGCTACCATCAGTTTGCTGTGCAGAGAAGATTGAATCGAATTCCTGGTTTGGAATGAATTTACTCTTTGAATATTATCCGTACATTAAAGTTGAAGAGATGATTTATTTCTTACCCTAGTCTTTACTTGTACATTATGAATTCTCATAGTTGCTCTTATTCAGGCTGATCCCCGCGCGTCGCTGACGGCGTCACTGGCGCAGTCGAGCTACTGCAGACAGCGTCGCTTAGACCCTCAGGACCCCGTGTGCGCTCACGTCATTCTCACCGGCGAGATCGTCAAGGTGGCGCGCTATAATGACCAGGGCCCATACTTTCAAAAAAAGTTAAGAGATCGTAGTAAGTTCAGCAGCCAATCATTGACGGCCTTTCAAGCAAAATCCACCAATCATAGACAAGAAAATAGAGCGCAAGTACTTACGTCCACTTAGCGAGTTTTGAAAGTATGGCCCCTAGTGTCATTAATGACCTATTGTCTTTAATGTTAAGAGGCAACATACAGCATCAAGCTATGTTGCTGACATAATGAGTTGTACGTTTCATATGTTGAATTTCACGTTGCATTTTCAAGCTTTGATGATGTGCTGAATGCATAATGATGTATTCAAGCTGAGATGGCGACTTAGCGTGTAGAATGTGTACTGTTGAGAGTCATTGTCGAGGTGGCATGCTCCAACGTCGTCCTAGTAAGTTAAGTTTTCTGCAATGACTGGTATCAAACTAAAAAAGCTTTCATGGATGTATCCAGTTTCTCCTATTCTAATCAAAATTGACTTTACAAATGAGCGTAACTGCAAAGAACATTCAATTTGGTGTACTGTAAGCGAGGAGTTTTTCAGATCAAAAACGGCACTGCGGAGGCTGCGGCTGCCCAGCAAGCTCTGTTCTCCCGTCATCCTGAGATGCAAGACTGGCCTCAAGGTCGGAATCCTGGGAGTATTTTATGACTGGTATATTTTATATCACTTATATTGTATTGGTTTAAAAATATACCGGTATACCAGGCATATTGGTATACCAGTTATATTAGTATAGTTATAAAAATATACCAGTATACCAGGCATATTTGTATATTTTATACAAGCTTAGGTATATTGAAATTGCAATAATTTGCACACATACGCGAAAAAAATTATTATACAATCAGTGCAGTGGCACGTGCTCAAGGATGGCAATTGTATATGAGCAAACTCGAGTTGTCTTTTAACAGTCTGTTAGATTGAGTCATACGCTCAATATTGAGTCATAGTATGGCTACATTTTTCCAGGATGCCTGCAATTGAGTATCGGATACGTTTTTACATGCAAACCTGTGTGTGCAGATCACGGCTGGTTTGTGGCGCGTCTAGCCATACGTCACATTTACTTACTGGATTATTTTGGCGGGGCGAAGGTGATCGACCCTCAGGATTACTATGCTGCGCAACCCTTCTAAGGGATAGTCTGAAAATCCCCTCTTCTGTCATCAGTTATTGTAGGCTGTTGTTCAGAGGCAATATTTTCTAGCCTTACCTGACTTCATCACCTTGAACCTGTTTCTATTTCATCGTCAACACTTTCTATTTGTGGATGTTGCAGTAATCATGTTTTTTAGGTCGTTAATATATTTTAAGATGGTTATTTTACACGGTACTGACGAAACGATCGTGTTACTGTCGGATGTCACAAATAGTTTGTCATTAACCGTAGCGAACAAACGGTCTTGTAATGAGGATTCTAACGGTGATATTTAGTCTATCTAACCTTCTAGTCAATCAACGCAAACTGAAAGCTTTTTCTGATGGATCCTAATTTTAATGGCGATGGATACAGTGGCCTGATACCGTAAGGATACGTTAAAAGTTTTAATTCTTTGAATCATGATGTAATGAGAATAAGTAGGATCTGTACCCGTTTCCTGCAAATCACTAAATTGCTGGAAGCATGGACGATTCACATTTCTGATAATACATCAAATCATTGCTATCGGCAAGTTTCACTACCGAAAGTCAACTGAATTTCTTATATTTCATATCTTCTGCCGATGGCGGGTCGCATATCCTCGTCCATATCGCCGAAGTACGAGATTACCAGTGAAGAAATCTCCTGTAATGTTTTCACCAAAGTTTAAGTTGACGCCTGCATCAAAATGGTGTATAATCTCATATATACTTTCCTCAATTTGAGGAGATGTGATTATTTTAATTAGCTTTGTAAGAAAGGTACATACATAGAAATATTCGAGCATAATGTGGGATATTAACATTTATACTCTTCTATAATAAATATGAGTTTTAAACTCAGTTTTCATATCACCCGCCTATGAAGTCAACAGATTTAAAGTTCAAAAAGCATAAACCTTAAATTCTTGATCCTGATGTGGGCGCTCCCAAGCGTGCTGTGCTAATGAGTAAGCAATTAGTCTCAGGAATTCAAAAGTCATATTGTACTAGCACATTTACTTATCAATAGTAAATAAATGTATACTGAAAATATTAAGTGTGGGAATGTGGTGCTTATGATTGTAAAAATTCCTATCAGAGGAAACGGGGCAGAGGCTCCTAACCTGCAGCAATGGTGGCACGAGAACATCAGCCATGTTGTCAAGGACATGACAGTCAGATCATTACGAATAAGATAAGTAGCAAAGCAACGTATTGATGCATGATCAAATGACACCTGCGTCAGAATGAGCGTTCGGAGCTCTGAAGCGACCATCAAGAGACATGCAATGTCTTGATCAAGGCCTTAACCTTAAACAAGAAGACTTAGACCAGACCTTGGCCGTTTTATCCGGGTTATTAGTTTGCAAACATGTGGTCATTTATTACTAAACATATTATCCTCCTTGAGGCAGAGTTGCCACCTAAGAATTAATGTCTATAATATCGATCAGTATATGTACACAAAAACAAACACTGCATTGGGTACGAACTAACCTTAGAGATAATTATTAATACAACAAAGTTACAGGCAGGGAAGAGGGCAAGGCCACGGAAATTCTACGAGACATTCATAGTGCTGTTTGGTCCCGTGAATATGAGATCAACTATAATCAATCCCCAATGCTAATTCACTGTCAACTTTGAGACACTGGTACTTTTTTTAACACCACACACACTCATCCCCTCGCTCAGCCTTTATGTCAGTTATGAGTGGAGACACCGATTACCTTCCATCTTTTAACTCTCACGCCACTCATACATGAAATAGACCAGGGCACGCCACTCGTCTTTTTATCAGAGACGTTCAATCCTCCCTGGTCGTCGTGAGCGTCTTGCTAAGAAGTGTCCACGTCCATACTTTCAGCGCTGTTGCCACCACCCGAAGTGGAACTGACGATCTTGCTCCAGTGATCTGTCCAGTCTTCAGGCCGCATCCCTCCTCCATATATCTGAACAGATGAAGAAAGTGTTCAGATAAAAAAGTATAATGATAGATAAATATTACTAAGAAAGTGGGAGTCTGCATTTTGTTGCCCAACATGAGCTCTTTTCTTCCCACGCGGAGCGCGTCACAAGATTGACGTGATCAAAGAGATGGCAAACGATGATGCTTCTTTAAGGTGGCACTCACAGAGCCGCATCTAAGAAATGAGATATTGGATGTTGAATTAGAAATGGAAGGTTTCTACCATCAACGCGCAGACCGTCGGCGGAGGGGTAAAGGAAGGAGTAATAGTTTATTCCAAGAACTTTCTCAAAGGATGCTGGAGCAAGCAGTGATGCCATTTGGTAGAACTCAGAATAATTCTATAGAATGCCCAGTCAAAAGCCAAAACAGACCACAGTGGGTCTTCTGAAGAACAAAGATGTTCCCATCGGAGATGACCACAGCACGTGCGGATTGCTAGGAGCGAAGTTTGGTGAATTTTTCAGCAACCCTTATTACCCAAGACAAAGAGCTACGTTACTCATATTGAGCAATTGCCATACATTGTACATGGGTAAGAAATTATGGTTTATGATCGTATTTTGCGGATCTGGAGTGTATGTGAAGTTATTTTCGAACGCCACTCCTTGTACTATTTCATTAACCGAAGCAGCTGTGCCGTGCCATTGAACCCATTTCTGCCATGAGCCTCACGAATGACTTACCAGAGCTCTAAGTAAGTAGGACTTGTACAAGAAGACATAGACCAGACCTTGCAGAGAAACAAGAAGACTTAGTAGACCAGACCTTGCAGAAAAACAAAAAGACTTAGACCAGGCCATGCAGAGAAACAAGAAGACTTAGACCAGACCTTGCAGTAAAACAAGAAGACTTAGACCAGGCCATGCAGAGAAACAAGAAGACTTAGACCAGACCTTGCAGAGAAACAAGAAGACTTAGTAGACCAGATCTTGCAAAGAAACAAGAAGACTTAGTAGACCAAACCTTGCAGAGAAACAAGAAGACTTAGACCAGAGCTTGCAGAGAAACAAGAAGACTTAGACCAGAGCTTGCAGAGAAACAAGACGACTTTAGAAGTTAGACCAGACCTTGCAGAGAAACAAGAAGACTTAGACCAGACCTTGCAGATGACAAGAAGACTTGGACTATACCTTGCAGAGAAACACCACAGGGTTGAGCAAATAAGATTACAAACCTTGCAGACAAACTGCAGCAAGGTGCGTTTGCAGAGCTGTAGGTGAGCGCGCTCGCCCCACGAGTAATCCTTGCGCGGCGGCTCCACGTCCTTCTGCACCAGCACCTCCAGGAAATCCTGGCGCACCAAATCCTGCAAACAAGCCAAACGATTGTTAAAAGCCAAACGATTGTTAAAAGCCAAACGATTGTTAAAAGCCAAACGATTGTTAAAAGCCAAACGATTGTTAAAAGCCAAACGATTGTTATAAGCCAAACGATTGTTGAAAGTCAGTCATCACAACACACGTCGTGAAGTCGTCATTCTGCACCAGCACCTCAGAGTTTTCTGGTGAGCAACAGCTTGACATTTATTGAAATGGTAGTAATTTCATCATTTTCATGACACGTGGATGGGTGAGTGAGGCCGAGCAAAGCACAAACTAAATTAGATCGTTTCGAGGTACTCGCACAAAATTTTATGAAATTTATGCATTTTTACCATTCGAGAATTATTTCAAATTTTTATTTAATTTGAAAGTCAAATTTTGACCAGCAATACCATCCAAAATTTACCTAATTATGCAATAGTTGCTATGATATCAATGAGTAACATGATCATATTTAGCTCTTACATCGAGAAGTTTTTTGCAGCTGCCGAAGACAGGATGACTGTCGGCGCTCTCAACGTAGACGCCAAGGCACTTGAGGAAGGACAGCAGCGTCACTGCAACAATCATCAGTTTAGGAAAACAAAGCAAATTGCTTGTGAAAATTTAATGTTTAGTTTAAGACTGCATGTGTCAAGGCAATATATAAAGAATATACTAACTAACCCAATTATAGAAATAGCTTACAAAGTTACAACAAAATTTACAAATTCCTCATTTTCAAGGATGAACCCAGGCCAGAAGTTCATTTCACTAATAAATCAGAATAAGGCATAAGAAATATGAATTATCATTACACTAAAGAGATAATTATCTTACAAAATTATGCCTTGAGCATCATGCGTTTCCTCCTTGGCTCTCTAGCAAGCTAATGACGTCAACAACAAATAATTAAATGGATGACATACATCGAAAAACATTCAATAATAAACATGTGTTTTATACAGTTGTTCGGTCAGTATCAATATCAAGGTTCTCATTGAGCCATCCGACAGGAGCATTTATAGGAAAGGCGCACAGCAATTGTGTCTAAAATAGCTTTCCATCTTGTATCATTCCATGTTAAGGAAAGAGAAGTATTAAAGTTGTGCCTTCCAATGCACCTCAGTACCTCTGTGCATAAACAGCTTTACATCTGTTAATGCACGCTAAGGTCGGCAAATTTTGAAAAAAAAAATGTCACGAATGAAGCCCAAACAATTTGGACAAGATGCACACGAAAATCCCAAATTGAACCCTATTTTTTAATAGATGAAGTCAAGTAAATTCTTCAGTGTTGATTTATTTGATATCGTTTTTGCCAAGTTTCACAGTTTTTCCAATAACTTATTTTTTTCGATATGCAGGAGTTCATAATGCCATTTTGTACAAGGCAATGACTTTTCCTAGTTCTGTACGTAGTTTAACTTGTGGTTCTTCTTCACGTGACTTTAAGAAATTTTCAAGTAGCTAATGAATATAGAAACATATTAGGGAAATATGTAAAAAATTTTGCATATGATTAAAATTCACCTTCTTCAACAACGCCTCCCATCATAAAGATGACAGCAAGAATGACGAACATAAGGCCATCGCTTTCGTTGCCAGGTTCATCTGCCATTCCTAACAATGCACTCTGGTCTCTGCACAACGAAACTTTGTTAGAATGTAACTTCCTGAAGATAGAAGGCAGCCCGTCCCTAACAATGCACTCTGGTCTCTGCGCAACAAAACTTTGTTAGAATGTTACTTCCTGAAGATAGGAGGCAGCCCGAGTGTAGAAACAATACAAGAAGATCCCTTCTATTGCAGTTAAAAAATTGTGGAAAAATATTTGGCAAGCTTAAAGCGGGCCTCTGTCAACCAGCATGCGTTAAAAATACATGGTTATGGAATTTACAAAACTTTCTATTTCAATTCAGCAATAAGCTGATTAAATATTCTTCAGTGTAATTTACTGCTCCATATTTTCATTTAATACCATCAGGTACTAGAACTAGTCATTCATTCACCTTCACCAATTGTAGTTACTCCTTAGTCAAGTTAGTGGAGAAATCTAAATAAAAAACTTTCAATTAAAAAACGAGTTTATCTAATTTAAGTAGGTACTTTACCTACTTAAATTACCTACTTTAACTACTCAGCTTACCTACTTTAAGTGGGTAATGAGTTTACATACTTCAAGTAGGTAAAAAGTTTATCTACTCTAAGTAGGGAATGGGTTTACCTACTTTAAGTAGGCAATAAGTTTATCTCACTTATAGCATCAGACCCACTTTCCATTAACCCACCCGAGCATAAGGCCCGCTCATTAACCCACCCCAGCATAAGGCCCTCTTATTAACCCACCCGAGCATAAGGCCCACTAATTAACCCACCCGAGCATAAGGCCCACTTATTAACCCACCCGAGCATAAGGCCCTCTTATTAACCCACCCAAGCATAAGGCCCAATTATTAACCCACCCAAGCATAAGGCCCAATTATTAACCCACCCGAGCATAAGGCCCGCTTATTAACCCACCCGAGCATAAGGCTCACAAATTAACCCACCTGTCCTGGTCAGCGTCGTCAGCATCATTAGTGTTGCTGTCAGGACCTGTGGTGCAGTTGATGGGCGGGGCCAGTTTGTTCAGCAAAATGTAGCTTGCTTTGCGCTGCCCTAGTTCATGAATTTTATATCCAAACACCTGAAATAAAGAGTAAGAAATCAAATTCCCACCTGCGCATGCGAACAAAATCAATTATTCAAAGTTTAATAAGTGAACATAGCCAGCAGTGAGTAGCTTAAAAGATGAAATAGAGAAATTGGGTCAACTGAAATAAAAAATTGATTCTACTGAAATAGTGAAGCAAGAAGAATAAAAAAAATATTAATATTTTATTAAAATATAATATTATATTTAATATAATATTATATTTTATTAAAAAAATATATTTTGATAATTTGCCATTAATTTCTAGCAGCAGGATTGTCAAAACTTCCAAACTGAGCTTTATTAACTTGTTCATTTTTTTCATTACATATTAACTGAGGAATATCATGTGGTTCAAAAAGCTGCCATCTTTACAGTATTGGGTTAGACGTGGGTCATTTTGGTTATCCACAAAGTGGGTAAAAAATTTGATTGAAATCTGTAGTATAACAAATTTAAACTTACATACAAAATACATTGAATTGAGGTAATTAATATAATTAATAATTTCCAATCTTTCCCAACTTTAAATTGCTTAATTTATTCATCTTCAGCCCCTGTTTTATTCATCAAACTAAAATTTTGAATGGAAAAAGCTTAAGAACAAAAGAAAGCTAACTTTTTCCAGCATTGATGAGGCCTGTTGTACGATGACAGGCAGACGGCGACTGTGTTGCTTGCCTACTACCTTCGTTAAGTCACTTCTCTTCACGGGTACCTGCACAAGTATATACCAGAACAATAATAATCTGTGATAATAAGTATCACTAGTTTAAGCGTTTGGTAACAGATCTAAAAGCTGGAGTACCATCTGACTAAACTACAAACTCTTTAGGAGATTTGGCAAAAGTTCATGTGCACATATGTAAAATAAGATAATGTTAAATATTGGGTAGTTAAAATAGTTTTACCGAGTTGCAGTTTTACTTAAGTGTTGTACTTTCCCTATCAAAATTTAGGGACAGCGCAGGTTTCGGCTGAGTAGTCGCTACACTTGGCGCAAAGTTATTCTGAGTGTACTTGGCTACCTGATCGAAATCAGTTTCTGGCCAGAATATTTTTTTTGTCAACTTTATAGTCGCCTGAAAGTATATGACAAGGTAAGGCCAAGCCGAGTCATACCAAACATGCAAGCTGCTCAAAGGCTGCCATTTAATTAAGCCCAGAGGCAAAGCGGACATAGAGAAGCTGATTGCTTTGCTCCTGAGTCCAAAGAGCAGAGCTGGGCAGCGCTACTTTGAAATGTAGCTGCCGCTACCGCTACCGCTACATGCTCTAAATGTAGCGGGCGCTACCGCTACCACCGCTACAATTGCTTAAATGTAGCGCCGCTACCGCTACATGTAGCGAGCTACTGCCCACCTCTGCCTAAGAGGCACGTATTTCAGAGTTGGGCATGTATCAAAATTTTGTTAGGGTAGGTATCTTTATAGTGATTACTGCGTGTAAAATGATTGCTGTTATCATTTGGATGATGTCTTAATATATTTCTATGAAAAAAAAAGCCTGGTAGAAAGTACAGGTATTAAAAGGCTTTACTAGAATTAAAACTACATGTTAGCAGGATAAATTTAATAAAAATTTTGTGGGATCAAACTTAAACTCATAAATTATATTTAATGCTTGCTATTTTAAAATTATTTTGTGAGTACTTCCAGTTGAACACATATAGAAAAAATTTAATGAACATTTCCAAATCACCCTGATTGTACTATATCCTTATGCTTGCCAATTTGGTACGTATTTTATGACAAATTTATGTCGACATAGAAGATACCACAATGGAATATTACAAGTTCAAACTTTGCAATTCAACAAAGAAGCTACAAAGCTAATTACCTTTTTGCACTCGGCAGCCAGAAAGTAGTTGGCCACAAGCCCTGCACATCGTGCAAGCTCAGCCTGACTCACATCTGTTGAAGCTTGACTGCTACTGGCTTGACTTATGCTACCTGCAGTTATAAAAGCTCAGCATTAATTTCATAGAAAAGATTCTTTATGACATGTTATATAGTTTGGTTGGGTAATATTGTCTGGAAACGAAAATAAATGGTTTGTGCAAATTTGAATATTTTGAAATAAAATTGTTCTACATTAATGACATATTTTCGATACATTTGCTACAATGAATTATTTATAAAATTAGATCATACATCTTACATATTTGTTAAGCAACAACCTTACTTGTAAATGTTGAATAAAAGATTCATTAGGGCATAAAATTATAGAGGAGTATTATTATAAAACTTACAACAGAGTCACTTCAAAAAATGAGTAAAATTCAGTGGTTTACAGCTAAAATCCAATTAAACTTCATTTAAAAAGACATTTCAACTGTATAAAGAGATTTAAAGTAACATTGATAAACTTACAAGCAATGATGACCAAAATTGTTAAACAGTACCCAAGAACTAAACAAAAGTGCAAAATTCTCTGAATGAAATTTAGATATGAAGTAGATATCTGGTGGTCACTTTTTTTTATTTCATGTCATTGTGATAGATTCTGAAAGTATAGCAAGTAAAGCAAGTTACATGACTTGAAGTTATAAATAAAAATTTTCAATTGGTCGGTTTCTTTGGGAACTCAAATCAGAAGAGTATGTGACAATATACCTCTTTCTGTCTGGGAAGCTTGCTGACTGCTACCCTGAGAAAGTCTGCCCTTTCCTCTGGAGGTGCCTTGAGAGCTGCTGCGTTGGCCTGTGCTCCGAGGAACATACTCTTCCTCCGAGCTGCTCTCCTCTGATGAGGAGGTCTCAATCTGCACACAATAAGTGGATGTGCTTCTAGCATTTCTAAGCAATAACTATTGCTTATAGTGTCTTTATGATTTAAATAATAACTTATAGGTACATCAAAAACTAACATGATGTGATTTGGCAACCCTAGCATATCATGAGTAGACAAGCCTGGTATTATTATAAATAACTGGCATGGCTCACAGTTAAGTCATTTGGATAAAAATAAAGAAATAAAGAAAATAAACATAAATATCAACAGAAATTTTTTCATTGCTATTATTATTTATTTGATATTGATATTATAGTTTATTTACTTTCTTTTATTATATTATAATGGAACTGTCAATGAAAGTTCATGTACTATTGTACAGTATAATGGAATCAGAGTGTAATATCTGAACACTTTTGGCCTGTTGCCAATTCTTGGCAGAAATTTGACAGTAAGCTGCTGGAATCAAGACTGAAATTTGCATCCACAATCTTTCATTTCATAACCTCACAGCTACCCTCAACAATTTTAACCACAATTTCACAGCTAGCTATGGAATCTGATCCTTGAAGATCCTATAAAAAGAACCTACATTGGTGATTTAAACAAGTTATTAGTGATCTCTGCAAGTTAGTTTTGTTAATTGATAACAAACAATGAAGAATAATAATTTCAGGACATATATAAATATAAATCATTAGCACAACACAACTTGAAGTTGAAATTTAATTTAGCATTTCAAGTAAGAAACCAAACAGATGTAATTTATCAGGCAAAATTTGGCCTTTCAAGCAAGATAAATAATAATGGTTTAAAAGAATTAGTGACCAAGAAGGTTTTATATATCTGAGGCAAAAATAAGAATATTAATTAGAACAGCAGACCAGTAGCAAATAGTCATAAAAGACAGCTGAAATTGATACAAAATAAATATCTCATGAGCAAGTTAGGAACAACTTTCCTACTTAAAAGCAAGACAAATCATATTAAACAATTAATTAAAGAAAGATGTACAAAAAAACTATGTTAAAGCCTGAAAGGAAATGTATGGAAAAGTGTAAATGTATAGAACTAATTTACAAGTGAATTACTCACCAACATGATCAAGCAGTTGGGTGCTCTACTCTAAGTAGGGCTCTGTTACACACACACAGTTGACTTCCTCATCTGGATTTTGGTTCAGCTCTGTAAGCATAATTAAGGTTAACAGGTTAATGAGAGCATGCATATGGAAATACTAAAGTCAGGTTGGCAATAATATGTGTTTATATTACATTAAAGTCATTTCCTTATCCCTAATTGTCCATTTTGACAATTCTTTGACGACATTATTTCTGTGACTGACTGTGACTGCAATAGAACAGCTTTTATTGTCTGCAAATGCTGAGGATGAGGCATTCTATTACAACTCAAGTAGCATTTTTAAATCACGTAGGTAACATAGCTGATAGCTGGATTTATAATGAATGATTATTTCCTTTATTGCAGAGACTTTTTATTTTAAACATAAATTATTATTATTAGACTCAGTGCCCTTCTGGTTTTAAAACTATTTTGGAACTAATTCAGAGCTTTCAAATCATAGTGCTTTGAAGTTTTCAAATAATACATTAATTTGACATACCAGGCTGAATTTTCCTAAAATCATGGGTCACAAAAAATTCATGATAGTTTCACCAGTGATTTTTTAAAATCACTGATAAAAACTTGGTTTTACTTTTTTTACTGCAAAATTTGAAGTAAGGCAGCAAATAGGTGAAAATGGCCAAATTCACAGGGGTTTTTGTTTACTTAACTTCACAGGTAACTTCTACCCAATTTTATAACACTTTTCATTAACTTCATTTCTTGTTTGTTTGTTTGTCTGCTGTAAATCTTATAATCTATATTTAAAACACTTTTATCTTCCCAAATGATCTGAAATTTTGCATGCTTGCATAAAGTCGAGACAATGCATGAATCAATTGACAGAATACATAATTTAATTTTTTTATAATAAAAAAATTTGAATGAAGTTAAAGAGAAGTGTTGGTAAAAAATCATTCTAATTTTGTCTTCTACAAATCTAATAATCAATAGGTATTTAACAAACTTCTACCCGTCCAATCAATCTGAAATTTGCATACTTGCATAAAGTTGGAGACAATGCACAAATCAATTGACAGAATAAATAATTTTGAAAATTTAAAATTTTTTACACTAAAAAAAATAAAAAATTAATTTTTTCAATATTCAAAAATAAAATTAGAAATTCATTGTACATGTGTAACATCATAGACACTGGATTCTTTAGAAATGTCGTCTTTAACCCTTTCGTGACTGACGGGACTGTGATGGCCCGCTCAATGTTTTACCATAGTAAACCTTGCAAACAGCACACAATTTGAGGTGCAGCTACCTGCAGGGACATATAAGAAACACTCGTGCACCAAAAATAGCAACATCTGGTTAGCACCACAACAAACATCATTGAGCATCAAGTGACTGTTGGATGGGCTACGTTTGTTTTTCACTCATTTTATTTCTCTGCCAATATAAAAAACTGTGAGATGATCTTTTTTTTTTAAATCAAAGCTTTTTGGAATCTTTAATGCTAAAGTATTGGTAAGTGGACAGATGTGTATTTTATCAAGGGTAATACACCTACAATGATTTAATATACATATATGTGAGTGGGACTAATTCATCCCTCTGGTTGAGGCAGGACTGAGATGTCCTGGAGGCATGAGGTTGTAACATTACATGATGCTATGAACTTATTCATGATCATCTAATTTTGTTGTATTGTTGCTGTGAGGCCTCTGATCCCTTGTCACTCAACCCTCATGCCTTTTATTGCATAGTAATTTTTGTCACCTATTTATTTTTACATGCATTCACTTTTGTCTTTTTGTTCTATTTGTTTCAGCTGCACTAAGGGGTGACAATATGCTAAAGTAAATTCCATTGAAGTAAATCCCATTACTATAATTATCAATTCTCCAAGTGAATTCCCCGTTTAACTTCATCAAGGAGTATGCTGCCAGAACTGACAGGTTTTCCTGCATCACTCTGAAGAGTGAGTATTAGTAGGGATGTATGCAATATTCTTTAGTTAATGCGCTTAAAACTGGTTTCAGTAACTATTTAATTGCTAAAAATGGCTTAATCAGAATTACTTAGTATTCCAAATGAATTTTACTCCAGATTTTCTAGAAATCAGCTCAATGCTGCTGTTCCATAGTCACCTCAGTTTTGGTTAGAATTATTGACTTTTATTCCACTTTCATTTAGCATTCAATTGTTTACTATTCAATTGCCCTGATGATTTTGAAGTTATGTTCATGAGTGTTATAATTCTTATTTAGTCTATCCTTTTGCTTCCCACAACTCCTTAGAGATTGAGGGAAGAATTGGTTTATGTTTGGCCTGGTTGGTGGTTTGTGGAGCACTTTCACCTTAAGCAGCATCTATCCACTTGCCTGGCAACAGTTTTATCTCAACAACTTTCTTACAGTAATAGGCTTGAGTGGGCTGTTTACTGTTGAACATTTTCATTTTTCTTTTCAGTTATTGTTCAGCAACTCCTTGCCTGCCCATGCTCCATAATCCACATTTTAACTGAATTGTTCTGAATTCCTTTCATTCGACATGCGCCACTCACCTCTTGCTCTGGGTATCTCATTACACAGTGTCTTTACACAGGTCCTTGCAAGTGGTAAGTAAGGCCCTTGCTTCAATCCTTGTTATTAGCCTCAACCATTTAACCTCAGGGTCTTCTGCCCTTGTTTTGTAATAAAAGATTTGTAATGTAAAATCCCGTCTTAAATAATTACTTTAATTAGAGTTACTCTTTCATTTTCCAATTCTTACTGGGTTCTTGCCAAAGAAACTTCATAAAGTAGGTGATGAGTTTGCCTTGCCTGTGGCGGGAGACAGTACCCCGGCAACAAAGGGAAGAAGCAGCCTGAAACAGTACAATCCGCTAAAGTCAATCATAAGAAGCTACAAAGTCTGGTGCTTAGCAGATGAAGGCTATGTGAATGACTTTGATATATACAATGGGAAAAGTACTTCATAAATTCCCTGCAGAGGAGCTTCACTGGGACTTGGGGCTGATGTTGTCCTAAAGTCAACTGAAAAAATGCATGGCGAGAATCATAAAGTATTCTTTGAATTTTTTTCTTGTCAATACATTATTGGAGACTTTGAAAGCAAACAAGATTCAAGCATGTGGAACAATAAGGACCAACAGAAAGGATTTTCCAGTTCTTGAATCAGATAAGAAATTGACCAGAGGTCAGTATGACTATCAATCTAAGACTGATGGAATAACTGTTTTCAAGTGAATGGACTCAAAGCAGTTAATCTGAATTCAAACTTTCATGGAATTGAAAACTCAACAGTTTCCTGTAAGGAAAAAAATTGTCAAAAAATAATTGTGCAGTGTCATCTTGCCATCAAAAACTACAATGAACACATGGGAGGGGTCAACAGGCATGACCAATTTTGTTAACTGTAAGGCATCTGCAGGAAAAACATCAAATGGTGGCATTGGATCTTCTTTGGATTGCTCAACATGTCCATAGTGAATTCATTCATACTGTATAGAAACTCCTGACATTGACTCTGGGCACTGGACTCCTGACATTTTCAACAAAGCCAACAGCAAGCTGCAAGAGACATAGAAAGAGTTACTTCTCGACTCCAGCATCAGTGAAATTATCTAATGTAGGAGTACATTGGCCTCAGTTTAATGTGTCCAGGGGCAGGTGCCAAGTGTGCTTGAAGAAGAGAGAAGAAGCAAGACCTGCTGTAGAATGTCAACACTGCAAAGTGCATCTCTACAGTAACTCCACAAGAAACTGCTTCAAAGAGTTTCATCAGTGATAAACTTTCTCCATAGATAATAATGAATGATTCCATTTTTGTTTGCTTGTAGTAAAGAAATAAATTGTAGTAAAGAAATTGCTACCTAGGTAACTGCTACACCTATCTTAACTACAAAGGAATTTATTTTTACCTGGTTATTGTGATAGGTTAATTATTTTCATCTGTTTATTGTGAAATGGTATGCCATTATAAGATAGTTTAGTCATTTGCCAAAGGAAGTTTGTTATATGTAATTATATGCCTGTGCACTTGTTTTGCAAAAGAACATTGTGATATCTCATTATATGCTCATGCATATGTTTGTTAAAGGAACTTTGTTATATGTCATTATATGATAGTACACTCATTTGCCACAGGAACTTTGTTACATGTCATTATATGCTCATGCACTTGTTTGCCAAAGGAACTTCATGATATGTCATTATAAGCTAGTGCACTTGTTTGCCAAAGGAATTTTGTGATATTCAAATACTAACATATATATAGTAGGCTAATATTTTTTTCTGAAAATAATTTTTTTTCACAATAAATATATTGGTGAAAATTATGCATTTCTATGATCCCCAACTCCAAATTTGCCTGCAGGGCCAAGCATTGAAGGTAAGACACATTTTAACAAATAACAGCAAGTCAGCAACAGAAAGGCTGCCACAGTGCTGCAGCCCTATGTTGCAATATCTGTCCCTTCAGTTGCAACCATATACTACCGGGACTGCAGGGTACAGAAAGTGGGTGAATATTGTAAGTTCTTTGGCAATGCATCAGCAGCAAAATTGACACCTTCAAAAGATCTTTCCAACACATTTGGATTGAAATTATTGCATTTTAGAAATTACCACAAGTGCTTTCAAAAATAGTACAGTTTTAAGGTTGTTGTTAAAAGTTAACTTTGAGCTTGCATAGAATCCATTAATAACCTAAGATAAAACTTGACTTAAAACTATAATTTTCATTCTATAATACATTTCAATACTAAGTTACATATAAATTACATTAATTGCTTGGCACTACCTTAGCAATTTTGAGGTATTAGAGGCTTGTGGTTTTGGGATTCCCTTTGAATGGAACGAAACTTCAAGCCAATTGGCTAACTATCTACAGTCTTCTTTAGCACCTCATCCTGTGACCAGCCCTCCTGTGGCCATTGATTTGTAATCAGTATCCCAGGATGCTATGAAAAGAGTTTTGGTACTGCTTTGTTGTCACATTTGATGGGAGTAAGGTGCCAAGATCTCCATGTCCGCATGTTATCCTGAGCCCCATTTGAACCACTTACCTGCTTCAGCGGATTGCACCAGCTTCAGCCTTTTATGAAACGTAAGTCCTCAGTACCACTTAGTTGTGTGGGTGTGTGCCAGACAGTTTCAGAGACTGACATGGCCAAACTCTGCCCTCTGACCTCAAACTAAAATGAAGGTATTGCCTATATTTAATTTGAATAATTATATAATAGATATATAAACTTATTAATTACACAATAATGGATTTTCAATTTTTAATAGATAATAGAAGAAATTTAATATATTGCATGCTGGCTTGCTACATCTTTGTCAATTGATAGATGGGCTGTGCCCTCCATATTATCAAATGATAATTGACCTAAAACTATATTATTAGTCCAAAATTTATGAATTGATAAATTGATAGATATATTCAATATATATGGAGAAATTAAATGTATAATAAATTTTATAAATATAATAGATCTATATACAAATATTGTTAGTTTGTTACCATTAGGAATATTTATGATATTGAATTCATTTGTATATTTTTTGTGGCAGCACTGAACGAAACTGCTGGGGGCTAATGGCTGCATATCAGGCATGTCACTCTTTGGTTGTGAACTTCCCTGACCACTAGCTTCATATGCCTATGCAATAATCCACATAGCAGTTCACTGAAATAATAAACAAAAGATGAATATAGGAAACTTAACTTTGTTTCATTGTCATCTCTAGCCCCCATGCGCTTAGTTTTTGTTAAGCACACACAGTAAGGTTTCCGGCAGGTTGGATGGATCAGGATGCAGTGAAGCTTGTCTGGATATCAGTTGCAATGAGCCTAAGTGTTGCAGTGCATGGATATGGATAGTAAGGGATATACGGTACTATCAAAGTTGTTAGCAACACTTTCTTATTAAAAATTACCCAGCAATGCATCTTGAAAATGGCTGGCGACGCTTTGGTTTAAACCTCTGCACCCTGGCCAGGACTCTCTAATCCCGCTTAAAGAATTTTTACAATTAACATATATTTAATTATTTTCTACAGAAATGCATTATTCAGTCTTAATTTACCATGATTCTGCAAGGAAATTCAACTAAAAAGTTGTAAAACAAAAACACATAGCTGTTATGAAAGGTTTAGAAATAGAAAGTACGGTAACTTTTAAACGCATATTATTTCTTCTTTGACCATAGGACTCAACAAAATAGGGTAAACACACCATATTCTAACACCTTAAGGATGTAGCAAGAAATAAATGGCTATAAATAGATCACCGTATGTGCAACTCGAGTTCTGATTGGTTTATGTTGTTATCGTGTGAGTCTCAGCACACCGCGAGTTGCAATTTAACCCCTCTTTTAACAGGAAGGGCCACAACAACGAGAATGAATAAATCTTTGTGGAAGCGCTAATTTTTGTCTAAATTGAAGGTTTGAAAGCCTTAAGGTTTTAAATTTTATTAGGAACAATATCAAATGATTAAATTCAGATTTGAGGTAGGCAAAAATAAAATCCAAAAATCACTAATAAGGGAAAGAGCACAGGCCGGGTTAATTTGGACTTGACATTACCGTGCCAGCTGTAAAAAATAAATGAAATTAATAAAATAGCAAAGGATGAATAATTTAAGGGGCTGTGATTGAAATGATTAATTAGTAATCAAGCATTGCAAGGTAAAGTAACGGCAAGGGACTTATCAGTTAACCTTAAAAAAGCAAGCAAGGGATATAGTCATAATTAAATGGAATCAAACCAAGTTAAGTAAAACCAAAGAACCAAAAGGGTTTGCAAGGTGAACACGGTTGACAATGCAATGACAGACTATTAAGTATATTGACTATTTGTTTAAAATAGGAATCATGAGAAAATGCAGTAGTTAATGCAATGAATCAAAGAATCATAATAAATCATGAACCAATGCCTTATTTACAAAAACACAAGTTAATTTAAATACAGACAAAACATATATATATATATACAAGGGTGAACATTCACTAACCAGCATGGCTAAGCACGAGTGGTCAGGACTGTCAGACCGCTCTGTTACACAGCTGAGTGTCATTCATTTGGCTCAGCTTTATAAATAAATGAATATCTGTAACAGAGACTGAAACAGAAGAGTACAAAGACATTGAGGGGGAGGTAAAAGCAAGGCCAGAGGCAAATAACAAGGATAAATAAGCACAGATAGGCTGTGCTACACAAGCCACAAAAGCCACCCGGCAACAACGTCACTCTCAAAACACTACACTATGCGCCTGCAATGATGAAACGTCACAAACTGTTGCCATAATTATTTAAAAGCCTTTAGAATTCAAATTGACAAAATCGCCGAATTCCGACACTGAGTGTGACTAAATGCGGCATATTGTGAGACTAATTCCGAGAGCGCTTCGAAATTGTGATTCCGACACCCTGTGTCGGAATACGAACCCTGTGTCACGGCTGTGTGTCGTAATTCTGACACCGTGTCGAAATTAGTTTTTACCTGTCTAAAACTGTCTCTCAAATCAATCATCTATTAATTTATTTACCACTTAAAATCAGCAAATAAAAGTATACTTAGAAGATTCCTAATATATTTATAGACTTATTTAAAAGTCTCAAAGTTTCAAACCATAATAGCTAGGGTAAACACACCATTTCTGACACATTAAGGATGTACCGTAAAATGGGGTAACTTTGACGGGGTAACTTTTTTTTTCAAAATGATGCCATTTTTTTACTAGATAAGTTAAACTTAAATTGAAACATGCAAAATACAGGTCTATACTCTAGCTTTACTCACCATAAATTGCTGGCTCCTGCCTCTCATAGTTTTGATGTAATATAAAAAAAGTGATGG